ATGTATATATGCGGGGCAGGGAGCTTTATGTCCCCTCTCTGTAGTCTCCCAAAATGACGCTGCCTGCCATTTTCCTCTGGCACAGCGCTCCATTCTCCGACATTTTCCTGACACATTTTGTTTTCCCCGACATTTTCCTGACTTCCCTGATGTGTGGCAACCGTGCGGGTGGATCCGCGGGTTGACGCCCCCGGCTAGATTATAAGAGCGGCAGTGCAGTGGGCGCAGTCGGAGCACTTGGATCGGCCGGGCGAGGGGCAGGACCAGTTCGCGGACGAGATCAGCCCTTACCAAGGGTCTTCCGGGTAGGGTATGGGGTTCTAGCTCGGGTTCTAGGCAGTTCCGGCAAAACCGGAGGAGGGAGCCACTGGGTCGATAGCGGGGAGGAGAGGGTCCGGACGGAGAGACTTGCGCACCCGATGCACGGGCCCATTATCTCGTGATGTGCCGCAGGTGGCTTTTGGCCGGCTGACTTCTAGACGACTTGCCCGAATGTAACGGGTCTGTTAGGGGAGTGTAACCCAACCTAACCCGCCCCTAACTTAGGTGCCGGTGGTCTTAAAACACGGTAAAAACGAAGTCCCATTTTTTGAGGGAAAAGGGAAAACTTTGAGGGAGTCAGTAACTTTGCGGGATCTTTCTTGAAAAATAAGAACGACCCTCAAAGTAAGTCACAAATTTTGAGGAAGTCCCTCAAAGTAAGCGTGACTGCTGCTGCGCCCACCTCGCTACTTAAGAGCTTTGTAACAACTGATCAAATTGTCAGTTGGTCAAATTTAATGTGTTTCTCTTAGTTTTAGAGCTGCGGAACTCGTCCTGCAAATTTTGATACGTGTACAATGAGAAGAAATGAAACTGATTTTTTGAATGATTTTCGTGTGCAAGTACGTCTAAAAGCACGTAAACCATTCAAAAAATCTGTTTCGTATTTTCTCATCGTACACACATCAAACTTTGCAGGACGAGTTTCGCAGCTCTAAAACTAAGAGAAACACATAAAATTTGACCAACTGACAATTTGATCAGTTGTTACAAAGCTCTAAAGTAGCGAGGTGGGCGCAGCAGCAGCCACGCTTACTTTGAGGGACTTCCTCAAAATTTGTGACTTACTTTGAGGGTCGTTCTTATTTTTCAAGAAAGATCCCTCAAAGTTACTGACTCCCTCAAAGTTTTCCCTTTTCCCTCAAAAAATGGGACTTCGTTTTTACCGTGAAGGTGCTAACTCGTACCTAGGGGCGTAAGTGATGGCGGTCTTATCAGGCGCTAACTCGTACCTAACTTAAGTGACGGAGGTCGTATCAGGTGGTAACCCCAGCCTAAACGATCGGAGATTAACAGAGTTACTCATCAGGGCCTCACTCCGTACCTTAGGCGAGAGCAACTTAAGTAGGGCTAAAGTGATCGAGGATCGCATGTCAGAGTGGCCGAGTGGTTAAGGCGCCCGCCTCAAGAGCGGGTCCTCCATGGGGTCGTGGGTTCGAATCCCACCCCTAACATTTAGCGGACACGGTCGCACGCGTCGCGGAGTGTAACGGCTAGTGCGTATGAAAATAATCTCGAGAGTTAAATATTTATAAAGGACAAAACATTTTCTTTGTTGTGCACAGTGGGAGATTGGACTCCTTTTCGTGCTCATAAATCGGATTTTTCAATGTCATAATTAAAAGTTCCGGATAGTGGATTCTTGTTTGGAAAAGGGGTAAAAACGGGGTAAAAACATCGTCAATGGCAAATTTTTCATTTATTATTTTCTAGTTGTTAATGTAAACTATTGGCGACTTCGTCAAGGGGTTTCTTTTCCAAAAAGAAGCAACTTAAGAGGAAAGTTACGACATGAATTTTTGGAAGACATTTTAATGGTGTTTTGGGGGTAAATATACAAAATTTCATAGAAAGTTGAAGTTTTGATTCGAGATTTCGCAACATTTCACGGTGTTTCTGGCAGAAACTTATACTTTTCTATGTCCTGTAACTGGCGGCACCCGAATCTCGTCCGCGTTTTTCCGCCCATTTGAGATAAAAATAAGTTAAAGACATTAAATGCACAAAAACTGACCAAAACGTTTGTATGCGGCGCATGTCGTAATTTTCCTTTTAAGTTCCTTCTTTTTGGAGAAGAAACCCGTCGTCGAAGTCCCTGATATTTTACATTAACCGACATTAACATCTAGGAAATAATAAATGAAAAATTTGCCTCTGCCGATGTTTTTACCCCGTTTTTTGCCTTTCGATGCCTGTACTGGTCGAACGCAACGGGTTGAGCCAAATCTAAAATTCCCTGTCATATTTTACCCCTTTCCAAACAAGAATCCACTATCCGGAACTTTTAATTATGACATTGAAAAATCCGATTTATGAGCACGAAAAGGGGTCAAATCGCCCACTGTGTTGTGTAGCCGTTGCTTTATCCCTGCTCCCTGGTGTCTTTCCCACAGGTAAAACGGAAAAAAGGGGGGGAACGAACGAGCATCGAACCCGAGCCGTCCGCCTAGAAGCGAGCGCTTCAACCCACGCGGCCAGCACGCCACTGAAGGGGGGGAGCGCGCAGCGGAGCCTCGGAGCCAGCTCGAGCCGGCCGTGCGGTAGTGGCCTTTGCATTCTCAACTTAATTATTTGTAATTTCTTTACAGAAAAAGTCCAGTGTCCATGACGAAGAGAGAATCAAGAGGCGTAGCTCCAGGACTGAAGAGAAAACGGACAAACCTAAGGTAGGTGTCTTTCTGTAGCATTTTATAACAAATGTTACATTGAATACATTTGATTGATTGATATATTTCTGTCCTCAACGCAAGCGTGACGATGCAAGCGGCAGCACGGAATCAGGCTCTAGGACCCCCTCCAAAAAAGTTAAATGGAATCTCGCAAGGAGCTTCCTAATCTTAAACAGATCTGGCCGGACAAGATTCACGAAATAATGGAGAAACGAATTGTAAGTACATCAAAATGAAGTTTTTGCTCCCTCCTCCGAACGCATCTGTTATTCGTAATGAATTAATTCGTTCAAGTTTAATCTACATTTTTGTCCTTTGTTTCTAGCTGTCGGCAGAGGAAACCCCAAGGCAGAGAATCCCATTCAACCTCTGGAGGTGCCCGTACTGTCTCTTCGTATAGGCGAAGAAGTATGAAGTCGTACTCCATCTCGATTCAGAGCATGCTGCAGTTGTTGCTAACGAGAAACACTCGGTCTTTTCGTCTGCTGCCCGGATGGACAACCTATGCGGCTCTGCAGCCCGCGTCAAATGTGAAGAAGTGTTTGATGCTCACATGCAAACATTAGAGGCTATTTTAAAGAAGAACCGCAAATATATGAAGGCGCGCCCTTTTTACTAGAGGTAAATAAGTTTAAACTAAGAACATATTCCATCCAATTTCGCGGGCGATTCGTGAGTGTTTCCAGAACATGCTCATGGAAGTCATAGCAAGTGATGGGGACATCCCACCAGGACCTCCCATTGAGGCACTCGTGGGAGCTACTGATAACCATCTTTCAAGAACGTTCTCGGCTACTCCTCCCGGTAGATAGTATTATAGGACATTATCCAAATTATGTTTATGAACTTAAAATGTTCTTTCTTCATTTGAATGATTCTTTACCTTGGTCTATTTATGATATTATTCCACACATTACAGTTATATTCAAGTAATTAACAAATAATGATGTAATGAAATACCTTACTTTACTGGGAGTTGAACCTGCGACGGTCGCCACCATGGTCACAGAAGGGTATGACCTTCATCTTTTCGGCACTCATTCAGGCCGTCGGGCCTGTTAGAAGAAGGTACTGCTTTGCACCGCGCCCGGGCCGGTGGCTGACGATCACGCTAACGGACTTGTTAAATTGGTTTCTCATCCGAAATCTCATCCGAACGAATTTCGGATGAGAAACCAGTTCTATTAGTAATTTAATTCCACCCCGCTTTGTCGCTACAGGGGCGTAAACTTAGGGGACTGTTTTGAGCAAATTTACGACATTCCCGCTCGAGGATGTTAAACTACACTCGTGGATGCCTGTCTATGTCAAATCTAGACTTCCTAGGTGCTGGGGGAGATAATTTAATCCAGGCGTAGAAAAATGGACCGCTTACTGTTTTGACGAGTACATATTACTCTTTTTAGGCCGCCCCTCTGCTTTGAAAAAGCTATCCGGCAGGCTTATGCAAATGACCTCGTGTCTGTCTGTCTGTTCCACTAGAAGATGTGCTAGATACTTGAAATTTTCAGGGTATCTTAAGGTCTACTCCTAGAGAACGAAACTCCTACGGCAAATCCTGGCAACCACCCCTACCCTGATGGAACTCTCTGGATAAGATCAGGATAGACCGCTATCCAGGATCTATCCAATTTGTCTCATTTTGGACAGATCCTGGATAGACTGACTCTGTCCGAATGGCGTCCAGTAGGCATCTTATCTGTCCTCAAGGCAATCC